AAATATGGAAAAGTTAATGAAAGGCTAATTTGTAACATGTTTCTCAATCCTTCGTGTTCATAACTTAGGGATTATCATTTAATCACATGATATAACATTATATTTTAATTGGATACTATAAACATTTGACCGAATCCTTCATCAGGAAATTTTTTGAGCGGAGAAACTCTGCATATCTCCGCCATCATTAGAGATCTCTGGAGGATCAAAAATATATATATATATTTCGAAAATCTCTGAAAATTTATTTTCTCTGGAGATTTTCAAAGGTTTTCGAAAGTTATTAAAATATTACAAACATTTACAAAAACCTTCAAAAATCTCCGAAGGAAATAAATTTTCAGAGATTTTCGAAATATATATATATATTTTTTGATACTCCGGAGATCTCTAACAACGGTGGAGATATGCGGAGATATACAGAGTTCCTCTGCTCAAAAATTTCCTGATGTTGATTATCGCAAAAGTGGTGACTGAAACTTTTTTCCAGATTCTAAGTAAAGTTGTTCAGCGAATAAAAATACTATAGGTCTATTATTAGCGAATTGATGTGTTGAATCGATATTTGGTGTGAAATTTCCTATTTCAGAAAAGTTAAACTTTTAGGTTTAACAATGGGTAGAGCTCAAACTTTTTGAGTTATAAATTTTATACAAGTTATACACCTGAAATTGGTATTGCGATATGTTTTTTTTGCAATCAATTAGTATATACAAGTAAATGAATCAAAAATATAGGTAATTATAATCACATAGGAATGAAGAGACATTGGGCTTCTCATTGTACTGGAAATTTTTTTTGTGATATAAGTTATGAAATATACAGTGGATCTATAATTTTTTGGAAATTTTTGATTGCCAATTGCTTAACAACCAACGGTCAATCCGGTAAGTGACATAATTTATTATATAGTACAGAGTGTGAAAAAATATAGTTATATAGTTACTAATAGCTAATTTTTTCTTCTTGTACATCAATTATTTGCTGACATCTCACCTGTATCGAGTAAATCAAATTTTTATAAACACTTTTTGGAATGCTATTCCATTCCTTAACCATTAACTCTCCCAACTTTTCTAAATTTTTAGGTTTCTGCTCCTTCACGTTTCTCTTGACGATTCCTCACAAATTTTCAATAAAGTTAAGATCGGAGCTATTAGATGGCCACTCGATCATTGTGGGATATTTTTTCGAGAAATTTTTTAGCCAAAGCACTAGTGTGCTTTGGATCCTTATCATGTTGAAACTGCCAGTCATTTCCCATCATTCTCTTGACGTCAAGAAGCTGTTTTTCAAGAATTCTGATGTAGAACAAGGCATCCATTGTGTCTGAAAATCAATAAATTTCTATCTTACTCTGTAAACAAAATCCACTTCACACATTGATTCTTTTTCGATTTTATGAAATACGATGAATGGGTTGGCTACTCTTGTACTACTGACTAATCGTGTTCCTAAATAATTGGAAAGAAGTTTTGTCAGAAAATAAGGTACACAATCAGTCATTATCAAGGTGGTGTTGAGCCTATTCAACTCTTTTCTGTTTATGCACCTCTGTTAACATAGGTGTCGCCAAAGGAATGGAATTCTTATAGCCAGCAACACAAAGATATCTTTAAATGGTTTCTCTACCAAGCGTCACACCTTTTTCTTGAAGTTTACTTACCAAACCACTTACCGGTATTGTGGGTGTTTGTCGAATAAACTGACCTATAGCATACATAATGCTTAAGGTAACCTTCTTTGGGTGATCTGTATCCTTTCATTGAGCTACACCACTCGTTTCTTTTAGCTTTTTTGGGTTGTAATAAACTGTAGAGAGGCCGATATCTGTGTAATGTTGAATTTCTCTTGTGGAACGAAGGCCGTTGCTCCACAAAAGACAAATTGTTTCATGTTGCTGGTTTTTTCTTGGAAGAGTTATTAAATGCCATCATTTCTTATAAAGAAATTATATAGAAGTGAAGGTGAAGAATAGTGAGCTATTAAGATACAAATAAAGTGTTATTACATAAGTCAAAATTTTGCTTACCTTTTGTGGTTAAGAAATTATATGTGATAATCGTCATTTGAAAAATTTCCAAAAAATTATGGGTACCACTGTATATGGAAATTAAGCAAAAACCTAATTCTGAACATAATTATAATAATATATATGCATTACATCGATATGAATTATGGATTTCCAATGCTATTAAGAAAGTTAAGCATGTAAGAAAAGCTAGTAAAAAGATCAAAGTATATATAATTATATAAAGAAAATGATTAGAGTGTTTCTATAAACCTGAAGGCATGTATAGTTCAGAACTAGTTCAATATTACTAGCTTTTATGGGCTGTTCGAAAAGAAAAGTGTCAAGTTAACAATATATAATTAATTTAGTCATATAATCTATTTATTTGATATACATATTATTTATTTTTTAGCTTCAAAATTTATAGGTTTTGTTGATTTGTTTTTTATTCTTTTTTGATACAATTCTATCTTCTTTTGCAAATTCAATGGTGTATCAAACCTTAACCGAATTGCTAGAGGGTCATCTTCCGATCTAGTAAGATCAAATACAATAAATTCACCCTTTCGTAAATAATCATAGAATGGAAAACGGAAACTATTACAGTAGTGTGTCCGAAGCACGTGATCTTTTGGATTGTGTAACTAAATTTTGATTGGATGCGTAACATAAATGGTTCCGATCCGATTTTTTGGTTTTCGTGTTTACCAACTATTTCCCAGAATCTGAATCTCGCGATTGGAATCTTTTAAATTTTCTAACTTTCCGGGAAACTAGACAGAGAATAAACGGAAAGAACATAATACATATACTAGGTCTTTGGGCACGATAGTAGCAACCGGATCAGATGAACAACGGCTTATAGCTCTTTCTGCTTTGAATGGCTTTACAGTTAAGTAATTTTTACTTGCTAGAGTAAAGGTGGGCTTGAGAAGTCGTACTCGTCAGGTTACGGATGTTCTCAAGTTATTTAACATCAACAACAACTTATCAATCTGAACAGTTCATTATCGACATATCATGCTTGATACGAACTGTTCTAGGCTGAGTTGTTGATGACCTATCATGCTCTGATGTTGACCACCCTTTACTGATAGTCTTTACCACATCACAACAACTTATCAATCTGAACAGTTCATTATCGACCTATCATGCTTGACACGAACTGTTCTAGGCTAAGTTGTTGATGACCTATCATGCTCGATGTGTTATAAACACCGTCTGATAGTTACATTAGTTTGTAGAACAATTGCTAATTATCTTTTTTTCTTTTTTTATAAATCCAAGAAAGAGGCAAATACGATGAGGTAACGGACTTCTGGAAAGTCAAGGAACATGAAACTGCTTTCAAAAATTTGGATGTAAGTATTTGCTTCTAAATTCTTTTCGGTTTTCGTTTCAAAATATATAATATCTGATATCTCTCAGATGGTATTCACTGTGGAACATAACGATTATATAAATGAAGTGGGACAACGGCGCAGACAGGTTATGAAACGTACTTCCGAAAATCACCAAGAAGAATTCATTGACCCAAATCAGTCCAATAAAAACAATTATTCTTTGAGAAAAAAACAACGTGTAAAATTATAATGAGGAAGAAATGCTTAAGAGGCAATATCAGTACAGAGAAACTTCAACGTCACCACGCCAACCTGCAGGTAACCTCCCATTTGATAACAGCCATGAATCTGACGATTCAGATACCGGAATTGAATCTAATTGCCCAGCAATAATCAACGACGTTATGGAACTGCAATTGGGACCATTACCCCGAAAAGAGTCCAGATGGCTCGTAAATGACATGGATGTCTCTGAAAAGTGGCATCTCTTCAAGGAAGAGTCATTGAAATTAGCAAAGAGGGAAGGTCTTTTCGTGGAAAGCCACACCCAGCAGATATTGTATGCTTAATTTTTTCATTTGCTAGGTTACTGTAGAAACCAATTATAATTATCTTAATCTTAACTGTGTATAGATCCTTATCGCACATTCTATTATTAAAGTCTAAACAACATTGCCCTAGTATAGTGGAGGTTTTTGATGACGAGTTACTAGAAATTATGCAATAACGATATTTTACAAAGACTTACTAACCAAAAAGCGGAATTTGATGGGGAAACATTAGTGAAACTTGTCTGGATTGTTAAGGTATAATTTTCTTCTTTACACTTATTTGATGTGAAAAAATTCTTTATGCACTTATTCTTGCTACAGCGCCTACAACGAAAAGAAATCACGAGAGATGATGCTGTTTCAGAACTGCAAATTCTGGCAGTTGGCCGTTCTTATGGAGAACGTGCAATTTTGAAGGCCATAAGAAACATGTAGGATTGTAACAAATTATGGAGCAAGGAGATTTTTTACAGTATCCAATGCTAAACACCTTTTATTTATAATTATTAGTATTGAAAGCGTTCCAAGAGTAACATTAAAAAGCCCTGTCGGTGAGGTGGAATTATGTACTAGTTATATCGATACAATTCTCTGCCCAATATTTTCGGATCCTTATAGTGGTGTACTTTTGAGATGGTAAGCTCTTTAACTTGATAATATAATATTTTCATATATACATTTTCTAATCAACAGGATTACAGGTCGAATAAACAGGTAGAAGAGTCAAAAGCCAGAAAGTATGCGGGTAGAGCCAAACAACCAGATGCCATCATTAATGAGATAAATCAGTTATCTTGGGGTCCAAGTAAAGGACATGGTGAAGCAAAAGTTCAAGAGGAGGAGAATAATCTTTACCTCCTTTGCACTGATCTCATCCGGGTAGCTGTGTTTAACAAAGATGCGGTCGACTTTTATAACATGAATTGTATGCTCGGATTTCAGGTTGGAGGTAAGTTTCCAACAGTAACTTTTTTTTCGGATCTCACATTGCTGATCAAGTGCTCTGTACTCAATAGGGCAACATATCACATTCTATCTCACCACGCTTTTGTGTGACGCGTTATATGTTATGGTGGAAGTTGGCCATATTGATGTGCCTATATCACTTGAACAGGTTCCTGCCTTCCTCACTAGCCTTGATACACTTCTCATCATATCTGATGCGTTTTGGCTAATTGTATTGTGTCTACTGAAAAGAAAGAACCAAGCAGGCGCAGTACTCTTGCAACACCAAGCTTTAGAGAAATGGTTTCAAAGAGTCGGGATCGACATCGACCTTGTCAATTACGGTTTTAATTATTATTTATAAAATGCTAAGATTTTTCGTTATTTTGTATTATGTAATTGAACCGTAATTACTGTATATTCGTATTTGTTTAATAAAGGGATGGTAAAATAAGATGCGGGACGCGGAAATGGAGATTAGGCAGATTGACAATTCGAGATGATAATATATGAAAAAACATCATAATGGATCTTAACGTATTACGAAATAAATGTCATATTTAACATATAAATTGCGACAATTAATTAGAAAAATAATGCATGTACTGTATGTAACAATCATAGAGCATTTAAAGTTCGAGTTTATTCATTCAAGTATTACGAATTTCCTTATGAAAATCTAGATTGCCGAATTGCAGCCGGATGCATCACCGGCGCCCTGTTAGCCGCAAAAGCTGGTATTTACACGGGCAAAGTTACCCAGTTTCACCTTTTAAAGACTTTAACTTCGTTAGTCATTGTCAATGAGACCCAATTCTCGAAGATGCTCTGGAATAACTATATATGGGTCTTCGTAATACTAAACATACCTTAAAGCAATCAAATTCTCTTCGCATAATTCTTTCTTGAGTTGATCCCGCTCTTGTTGTTTAGCGAAATTATTGGGATCACCTTTATGAAAGAATTCGATATATTTTTCATGTTGTTGCCCCTGTACTTCGATAGCTAATCCAAATTCCGGATAGTAAATATCAAGTTCCAATCCGAGAGGGTGGTCATATGTTTTTAAAAAATCTGGTCGACGAATATTAGAAGGCGACCCTAAATATTTAGTAACAATTTCACGGCAAAGATTTTCACATTTATTCCGACAAAAGGGGCACCAAGCACCTAAAACTTTTATATTAAAAAGTGGTGCATTCCATAAATGTCCATTAGTACATTTCCATAACAAATCTGAACGGGTATTAATATACTCTGTAGAAAGACATTCCCCATTTTGATCAAAAGCAATTTATTTAGCAATTTCAATAGTATACCGAATGTTACCTGCACAATATGGACACCATGTACCTTTATTTTTTATTCCACTTAAAGAAATATACCATTCATGTCCTTTAGCACAACTCCATAGTAAATCAGTTTCGAGATTTTTATATTCGGTTGAAAGGCATTTTCCATTTCTACTATATGCAATTTGTTTAGCAATTTCAAGAGTATGAGAAACTACACCAGCACAATGTGGACACCATTGGCCTCTTTTTATATTACTTAGAGCTGCATTCCATTTATATCCCATAATGCATTGCCATTGCATTGGAACATTGGAATTAATATATTCAGTCGAAAGACATTCCCCATTTTTACTAAATGTAATTTTCTTTGCAATTTCAAGAGTATGTGACCTTTTATGTGCACAATCTGGACACCACGCACCTTGGTTTTTTATTCTAGTAAAATTGGCAGTCCATTCATGTCCTTTGGCACAACGCCGTAATAAAGGTAATTTATTATTATTATAATTTTTGGAAAGACACTCACCATTTTTACTATGTGCTAATTCTTTAGTAATTGAAATATCGAGTCTAGTATCAGAACAAGTAGAACACCAAGTCTTACAATTTTTTATACTGTGAAAGTTAGCAGTCCACTTATGTCCTTTTGCACATTTCCATTTTAATGGAGTATTACAATTAATATAATGATTCGAAAGACATTGTCCATTTCGACTTTTAGCAATTTTATAAGCATCATATATAGAATATTAATTTGGAATGGCATTAAGAATTAAAATACTTTTAAATAAAAAACTAAATCTTTAAATATTAACAGTACAAGAGCTTGCATCACATTACCAGCTTGTATGGGCAGTTTGAAAAGAAATGCATCAAATTAACAATATATAGACCATATCTGCAAAGCAATATACAGTTCGTGCCACAAAGATCCGGAATTTTTGTGACGTACACAAAAAATGCTGCTGTCACACCAATTTGCACCCAATTCAGCTAATATTTAAACTGAATGATCTTTAGTTTGTTTTGAACACAACATAAACATTACATTGCCTGATTGATATTCGAGCAAACTACTCCCACCCATATAATGTCAGCAGATTCACGATTTTCAATCCAATGTTCGACCATAAAGGAGCTTTGGGATAATAACATACAAAAACTATTTGAAGTGATTTGTATAACTGGCTATCCTAAATCTATTGTACATAATATTATAATTGGCTAAAAGAAAGAAATAATGTTAATCCCTTTTCTATTCCTGGTCGTCCCCTTCTTCTTACTCCACAAAACCATCGTTACCTTGGTCACCTTGTACAAAATAACAATGCAGCTACCGCAGCTTTTATAACTACCAAACTTAATAACACATACTCCAATCTCAATATATCCCTTTGTACTGTACAACGCACATTAACCAAAACCCTCAAATATAAAGTTTGCTGACCAAAAACCATTCCTTTTCTCAAACCAATTCATATCGAAACCCGTATTACAATGGTTCCTTGATCATGCATAAGACAACTGGTTATATACTATATTTTTGGATAAAAGTACATTTCAGATGTTCTGCAACGTTCAATTAGTACAATATAAGGATGGTAAACCTTATCCACAATGTTCAATGGTCAAATATCCATATAAGGTACATGTTTGGAGGCATTTTGTGAGCGAGGTTCAGTTGGGCTTTTTTTATTTACAGGAACTATGAATACTGAGAAATACTGTAATATTCTTGGTTCTCACCTAATCCCCAATGCTCGTATTGCTAGTTCTAAATGACATTTTCAACAAGATAATGCTTCTATCCAACCGTGAAGGTTACACATCATTTTTTGAATTTCATAATATTTGTGTGATCGATTGGTCCACAAACTCACCTGATCTCAATCCGATCGAAAATTTGTAGGCTATTCTTAAAGCTAAGGTGGAAAAAAAGGTATATAATCAAATTAGAGAAAAAAAAATACTTAGTTCAAACAAATTTCAAGGGATAATTAGACAAGAATGGAATAATTTAGATAGAAATATTTTCTTTAATTTAGTAAACAGTATGCCAAGGTGCCTTAATGAGGTTATAGAAAAAGAAGATTATAAAATAAACTATTAAATTTTTATACTATATGTTACATATATTTTAAACTATTGATAAATTAAATTTGAGTTACATGTGATAAAATTTAAAAAACTTTTATATATTAAAACTGAATTCTGGATATTTGTGGCACAAACTATATATATTAAACTATTTCCATCTGACACAAAAATCTTTAATGTTAATAATAGATTATGCTTGTTATTATTATTATGAAGCAATGTTCAAAGAGCTTACACATCTACTTAAATTTCATATTGGCTAGAGATGATCAGCTTTTTAATAGAAGTGGCTAATAAGATGTATATTATATTGTTGTATTAATAAATAACAAAAAAAATAATTATTTGAATATCAAAACATTGATTTTATCTATATCCATAAGATAAAGTTTTATTTTTTGCATGTTTATTTCTATGAAAAGAAAATATATATTTGTTTATATTTAAGGTTAGACCCACATTATATTCTGATTTGTGTTTGTATAAAAAAAGTCTATATAGAATCCATATAATAAATATCACTATTATGACAAAGATACCTAGCTTGATAATTGATATTTAATACTCATTGTTAATGAAAGATTTGCCAATATCTAATGTCCCTCCTATTATAATATCTTGAATTGAAGGTTCTGGATTTTGCTTATTCACAATGATTGGTATTGTTTCATTTTTTCTTATTACTAAATCATTTTTTATATTGAATATATCATTAGTTGAAGACTCTTGGCTAGTTTGAAAAATATCTATTTTTTCTGCGTGTTCTATTTTCTTTTTACTTACAAGATATTTTCTAAGACTTTTTAATTCAGATGTATCTCTAGAATTTGATATATTTTTTATTGCAGAAACAATAGAGATTTGCTTTTTATTACCTTCATTAACTATTGCAGAGCAATAACATAAAAGATCTACAGATTTTGATATAATCTGCGATTTCAGATGTTTCAATTCAGCTTTAATATATTCCAATTCAGTTATTTTAGATTTGAAAGATATAATTTCAGAATTTTTTTTCAATAAATCTTTTTGAATGGAAAATATATCCTTCTGAGCTAATGCTAATTTATCTTTTAATATCTTAAATATCGATTGAAAGGATCTTATTTCTTTTAATTGGATATCATATCTAGCTTTATACTTATTATAGAAAATCTGTGATTGGGTAATCTGGAATGTAAGATTAGTATTGTTTACTTTCAGTTGTTTAATCTTATTAATAAGTTGATAACTATATTTAAAAAGATTCTTTTTATCTTTATTGGATTGATTTAGATTATACTACATATGCTTATTGTCTTTATTTAAGACAAAATATTTATTGACAAGTCAATTACCATACTCTATAACAATTTCTCAATCTTTATTTGTACAAGCAAACTGGTTTTCAAGTTTTATTCAACTATGCAGATATCGATTTGATAGTATATCTCTGAGTTTTTTACCTTTATCTATATTGTTAGCATCAAATTTGTAGTAGGGGGCATGACGCGACATGTGGGGCCCGGCGCAGCGCCGCACGGGGCATCA